GCCCGTAAGGAGACTAAGGGTAAAGAGTGACTTTAATGAAGACCAAGGATGACTCCTATAACTGAACCATGCTTTAAGGTGCTTTACCTTAACGAAGCTGATCTTCTGTTGCACCTATCCAAAAGTCCAGGCCAGCTTAACAAACAAGCAAAGATTCTGACGATAAAAATACTTCTACAACTCACAGTGCGAGCAGGACAGCCTGTACTAAAATTGAGTAGCTTTGCAGCACATTCAGAAGAGCTGTTCTGCACATCTGTAGCTAACCCGGATCCCTCTGACCACCCCTTGGCCCACCGACCACATAACCATGCACAGCACAGCCAGCTCAACAAGCAGAGATCATTAATTCAAAGTAACTGTCATCTCGCATTTCAGTACCCTCTACTTCCTTCTCCAAAGGACCAGATTAACCTACTGCACTCACGGGCAAACTGTATCCATACAGCTTAAGATATTTTGTTCTTATAATAGATCATAGTGCCTTTTTTACTGTATTAGCTTTTTTTCATCACTCCTCTGGAGCTGTATCAGGGTGGAAAATGATATCAACCGATAATACATGAAACCTAAACATTTAAAGCAGCCTATTCTTTAAATTTCAGCATTGCCTTAATATACATCATGTACATTTATGAAAGCTATTTGAATTTAACAAATAGACTCCCTCTCTCTGATGATGATTATCATCCTGCAAGGTTTCAGAGGCAGTAAGTTTTGTTGTCAACTGTTGTTTTGTTCCACAGACAGATCTGGAAGAGCTGGAATGCCCATTTCATCTTTAAAACTAAGTTAACCATAGAATTGCACCTGGAAGAAAAACACTTTTCTGAAGTTTTAAAATACTTAAATTCTGTTTCAAGAAGGCTCTGGTGTCAATTCAACAGTTCGCTGCCAAACTCTTAAGGTCATGCATGTATTACTTGAAGAGGCGTCTATTAACAGAGTGACATTGATGTAGAATGTCAAGGGGTTTTATTTCTTTTCAAAATAAAAACACCAAGAGCAACTTTTGAGTGATTATCAAATAAATCCCTATTCTGGTATAATAGCAAAACACAATGTTACAAGTCTCTACAGGCCAAGATACTACAGGCCTGTGTAACAGGGCAGAAAAATTGTTTCGATGTTGTAGACAGCACTAAACAATGGAAAAGGTTTGGCTAAAACTCCAGAAAAATTAACACACAAAGGAGAGAAGAGAAGGGAAGAGAGAGGGAAAGAAGGAAACAGTAGTTCAAAGAATGCAATCCCAGGAGAGTAGGCAGTGCACAGAAGTAAAAAACAAATCAGAAGATGAGAACATCAACAAGCTGATGGTGGGCGTTTATTTTCTTCTATATTCTTTGGACACACCCTAACGAGCAAGAGATTTGGATCACAAAGTTTCTCCTCTCTCCAAACAGCTAGAATATTACTCAGGATGTTTCCAGATCTAGGCTACAGAGGTAGCTTTAGGATCTACCAGAGAGGTCAGACAGATTTTATCTGCAGGAAGAACACGCATTTACCAGCTGCACTGACAAGCACACGAAGAAACTGAGATGGTCTTGGCTCCACCAGGAGTACACGATCCTCTTTACGACACAGATCAATTTACTTCCCAGGAACTGGCAACAACATGGGGGATAGCTGCACCCCTACAAAGTTAGTCCAAGGCAGTCTTAAGAGGCAATTTTCAAGTTACCTCTGCTACTTAAAAAAATGTTACTGTTATTTCAAAGTCGGCTACAGAGCAGTAACTCCAGACACTGAAACCCGTATTTTTTTGTCTCCTTTTGTTGCCAGTGAAGAGGCTATTGTTGTCCAAGAGTTGTTTATAACAGTCCAGTAGTGTAACTGTCCACAACGAAAGGCTACCTTTCTGCAGGCCATGCCTGGAGAAACACGTGACGCTCGCTTACTGAGGAGGTGTCCAGGATAACTAGCTGCAGAGAAAGCCTTAGAGTAAAAGCCAACCAGTCAAGCAGATAAAGTCACTGCTACCACTTCACAGCATCCACAAGAAACTGGATTACGACTGACAGGCTTAATTTAACTGAAACCGTAAGGTAAAGAGGCCACCTGAGGGAGAAAGATTGTTGGATCTGGCCAACAAGCAGCAGAAGACAAGTCACCATGATCAGACCTGTGGTCACTGCAAACAGCACATTACTCACAACAAAAAGCACTAGCTGCCCTATTCACTGCCTTCCAAAGGGTAACCTTTTGGCACATATGCACACAAGCAATTAACCCTAAAATTACCACCAAGAATTAAATCCCACAAAAATATGGTAAGTTTCTGGTGTCTAGTTTTCAGTAAGGAATACAGCATTTCCAAAATGCATCAGCCTGAGACACAGGCAAGCTGAAGAAAGAGCTGTGACCTGCCAGCTGACAGGCACTGATCAAGTTTAATCTTGACAGAAATCACATTAACTGTATGCCGCCTCCTCCTAAACAAAGCACCCTCCAGACTGCTTTGATCGGCTGTTCCCCAGCTTTCCTGGGATAAGGAGGATATTTTCAGTTTGATTAGGAGTACGTTCTTCTCCCACCCCCACAAACTAAGTTTTCTTCTCAATTCCTCGCATATAGGAACTGTTCTAATTATTGCAAGCTCATAAATGACAGTAAGCTGCCCTTGGGAATGCAACCTGGCAGCAAGCTATTATCAAGTCATCTTCAGGGCTTTAGTTTGATTATTTTAATAAGCACAGCCTTTCATCGCTATAACCCATTTCAGACTATAGCAATGC